CGCCCCGCCGGCCCGGTCGCCGCTACCTACCGCCCGCGCGCGACAAGGGGCTCCGGGTGCAGCGCCCGCGCCCAGGCGGCGGTCATGTCTATCCCCCTGCCTCCGCCGCCACCGCCTCCAGCACGGCCGGCGCCCGCGCCCGTTCCGGCTTCCCCGCCGCCGCCGCCGCCGTCGCCGATCCGCAGACACACAGCCAAGATCCCTGACTCTTAACACCAACTCTCTTCTCCGGGGAGGGGAGGGGACGAGGGAAGGGGGGAGGGGGGACACGGCGAGGCGCACGGAATTGCAAGTTCAGCAAAGAAATGGGTGGGGGGGCTCCGGCGGGGAGACGCGGCGCGCTCGGGGTCGGGCAGCCGGGGACGCACCCCCACCCCAGAAAAGAAAAAAACAACACCTCCCCGCCTCGAAAAAATAATAATGAGCACAAACGAAAATTCACCCAGCACCTCATTTTTCCCTCAGACCGCCAGTTACAATCTGAAGCCAGAACAGTTCAGGGTTTGCCCGGTTCATCCATCGGAGGCACTTTGAAATTGATTCGAGTTTACATCCCTACTCACTTCTTTCTCTTACTCTCGGACACACACACAGGCACACACACACACACACACACACACACACACACACACACGGCCAAACAAGTTTATACTAGGCTGCAAATACACGTGATGCAAAAAGACTTTGCCAAGACGAATATATTTTTTTCTTTTCCATGCATACACCCGGCTACATTTTGCTCTGGAGATTTTTTGTTTGTTTGAGTACTTTTGCGTTGGGGACGAAATCTGAAATCTGAAATCTGAATCGCAGACTTTCTTCCTCCACCCTTTAACTCACAGAATCGTATAGCTGCAAACTTTGTTTTTTGGAAAAAAAAAAAAGGTAATTTTAGGGGGTGGATGTTGTTTGTTTCTACACTTGAGTTTCTAGGCACTCCCAAGTCCGCGCTCTCCAGCACTTTTAAGTTTTCAATTCAACATTTACCACTATAGGCCCTTCATGATCTTAAAGCACACTTTTTAAACATAACTTTTTAGGATAAAAATTAAGCTTCAAAATTCTATCGTTTTGTAATAACATGCGTGCTTTTTCCAGTATATAGAGCATTCGCTATTTTTCAACGTGTGTCCAAAAACACATTTTACCAACCCTGGTATTGCTAGACGTGCGAGTACATACCAAAATGCATGCACACACTTTTTCCTACTGGCTATTATTTCATAGGTTGTTCCTTTTGTTTGAATAAAACATTGGAATCAACATTTTAGAAATTCAATTACAAACAGTTTTCTCTGACAGCAAATTGTAACGTTACCTTCAATGGCCACAAATATGCTCACAATATTCCAAGGAAAGAGACTTTAAAAAGAGACAAAAATCTTCTGCAAGTACTTAGTATCTCACATGTGTATCCCCCAAAAAAAGTATTTTAAGTGGTACTCAGTCCTGCTCCAGGGTTATCCACAGATTACAAGATTATGCACCTGGCTCTGGTTTTTTTCATTGTCCACCATAAAACTGTGCCAAAATTCCCTCCCCCCAAAAAGTAATCATTTAAAAAAAATCCAACAACTTTTTCTTATTGTTTATAGAAAAATATCAACACAGGATAGTTATAATTGTTCTTCAGTCTTGTTGGCTGTATTTTTTTTCTTCTCTTTCAAAGTCTTAAACTTGTTCCAAGTTTAAAGGCGGCTCATCATCCTCCTCCTCCTCCTCATCACCACCATTGACTCCCCCGTGGAGTCACATAGATAATAATAGGTTTCCCTGAAAGATACATTGTAATCCATTCACATCCGGGCACTGCGGGTTTATAAAGAGAAGGCGCTGCGGCCGCGGCTGCTCCTCCAGACAATGACTGGGGAGGGGCGGGGCGGGAGCGCGCAACCATAGAGTGGTAAACAGAGAGCCTAGAGAGGCGGCCAAGATGGCGGTGCGCGTAAGCCACGCCTACTCCGAGCGCCGGTGGCGGCGGCGGGCGGGCTCGCGGGGCCTTCGGGTTTGGGGCAGGGCTGGGCGTGCCTCTCAGGCCTCTTGGTCTCAGGTTTCCCCTATGTGGGTCCTGGCATCCGGGTTCCCTGGCCCACCTTGATGGAGACGCTACGTGTAGGTCCCGAATGGATGTGTGCTCGGACCTCCTCGAGGAGGTGCGGCCAAGGCCGCGCGGGCCTCCCCGGACCCCCCTGGGGATTATTTTCGGATTGGGCGGTGTAGGGAAAGGCCGAGCACCTTGATCCTGGGCTAGATGGATGACGGCAGTCACCCCCTCTTCCTCCACTGGGCCACCCCTTCTTTTTATAGGCCCCTGGGAGTGTGAGAACTTTGTTAGTCTAGAAGTCTTCACTTGTGGAAAACCTTCATTTATTGATGTAAGACTCACATGGGCGTTTGTATCATAAGCCTTGACCGACCCAACTTCTAGTTCTGGCCAAGCAATGACCTTCTCAATTGTTTTCTGGTCGGCAAGTAACAATGAGGCTTTGGGATTCTTATATGATACTGATAAAGATGAAGCTACCAATAAAGACACAGTGTTGCCATCAGTAATTCATTCCTCACTGACTCACTAACTTAGCCAGTGAGGTTTGAAATAGCAGTCTTCCCAACAGAAACGCCATTACCGAGAATGACTGGTGATACCTACAGTGTACTTACCCTATGCCAGACATTGTTCTAAGAATTTCACAAGTATAAGCCAAGTACTGCTCAGAAGGAGCTTATAGAGTATTATAGAGTATTTGTTGCTACCCTGCTTTACCTACTGTGCAACAGAAAAGAGTGAAGTAATACAGCCTGACCCAGGGTAGAAGTTTATTAAATGGTATAAATTTGCCTAAGTAAAACTACTATCTAAGTGATAGAGCCCACCTTTGAAAGGCAATCTGTGATCAGAGTCCACATTCACTCATGTTCCCAAGCCATCTGGCAGTGGGAACGTCTTAATCCCTATTTTCTGACTTGTATTTGTGGCAGTAACAAAGTTGAGGTCAATTTTTTAAATCTTTTGCTTATATATGTTTTTACAGAATAAGAATTGAAACATTTATGGGTTGTTTCCTTGTCCATTCACACATCATGACAACTCCCTCCAGTCTTTCATCCACGTTGCACTTTCTCATCTTAAAATAATGTTTTACACTTAGCCACCACTTTCTGCTGCATTATCACAAGGTTTATCTCTAGTTCTTAGAGTAAGCCTCCACAGGCTCTGGAAAAATGATGTAATAAAAAGATCACAAACATTAGTTTGGGGAAAGTATTCCATTGGCTCTACCTCTGACCATCTCTGTTACCTAAGACTGTGCTAATGTCCTTTGCTGTGAAATGCAGAGGCTAGATTAGATAATCCTATAAAATCCCTTTTAGCCTTTAGGTTTTTAAGATTCTCCCTCCTGAATTTCAAGGGCAACAAATGCTCTGTCCAGAAATCAGTGATAAGATCAGATTTGGGATCTAAGGCACCCAGTTGCTAGTCTAGTACTTTTTTTTTCTGACCCTAGAATCAGAAAACCATGCAACTCCCCTTCCTGTTTTAAATTAAGGGACAAATGTGGGTGTGTTAGTCTTTGTTTTTTCCTGAACTGTCAGATGATAGGCACTTTCTAATTATACATATGAAGATTGGAGACACCTCGGAAAAGGAGATTTAGGAGGATACTGTAAAGCTTAGAGATAAAAGAGCAAGTGTAATAGATATGTTTTTGATACTTGCTTGTTCTACAGACTTCCCTTGCTTAGAAACCTGTCTATATATCTTGATATGCAGGTGTCTTAGTCATCTCTGGCTATTGTAACATAGACCAGGTGACTTAAACAACAGACATTTATTGTTCACAGTTCTGGAAGTTGAAGTCTGATATTCAGGTGAAAGCACAGTCAGGCTTGGTTAGGACTCTTCCTTTTCCAAGTTCCCAGACTGCTACCTTCTAGCGGCATCCTCATATGACTGACAGAAAGAGCGCTCTAGTTCTGTCTTTCTCATAAAAATACCAATCCTATCATAGAAACTCTATGCTCATGACCTCATCTAAACTTAATTTCTTCCCAAAGGCTTACTTCCAAATACCGTCCTACTGGGGCTTGAATATAAGGGTAGGGAATGGAGGCTCAAACATACAAGCATTCAGTCTATAATGAGGTCAAAATTGATGTGGGTGCTACATGACTCCTTCCAACCCCAGCCCAGCATTCCCAGCACATTAGAGCACAGGAATGAATCAGAAGAAACCAGCAGTAGTCTAAAGTGAGTGATAGAGTAGATGTGTGTTAGTCTGCTGGCCAGGCTGGTACCAGGAAGCTAGACCACATGAGAGCTGTGGTTCTAGAAAGCAGAAATGAGTAGAGAAAATGCCTCTTTGGATAAGAAAAAAAAGTTCTTGAGAGTTCCAAGACAAAAGTAGATAATGAAATCTTAAGTAGAATGTCTATATATTTGCTCAATCAGCAAGAGGACTACATTGCCTCCTGTCTATAACAGCACAAAGCCTTTAATTTATCCCTTCCTCAGCTGAGCTAATCTGAGGACCTTCCTTATTGATCTTTCAACAAACAATTTAGTGGGGGGGGGTCTTTCAGTTGCATTTATATCAATATCACCATAACTTTTTTTTTTTTTAAGTAGAGCTCTTTTCTGGGGAGTTAAACACTTTTACTTCACTCCCATATAATCACGATCCTACCTAATTTATGGTGCCAAACCTTCAGTCAAAATGCTCTGTACATGTATCACTTCCTTTTTAGCCTTTGGTGACTTGAGGAGAGTTTCACAACTCTGATTTAAAGTCATTTTTATTCCAATACTTTATATGGCTGGTTTAAATTAAATGAGATAGTGAAGATGCAAGTACTCTGAAAATAAGTCCTATTTTCCTATTTTATGTGTTATGGTTTGAATATGTAATGCCCCCTATAGATTCAGGTGGTGAGGCTTGTGGATTGGATCTCTGGGGCTCTTTCTTAATCAGTGTATTAATCCCTTGGTGAATGATAATAAGTTAGCATTCTGAAAAGGAAATGCTGGGCATGAGTCACTGGTGGTGTACCCTTGGGGGCTGTATCTTTTCCTGGCCCCTTGTAGTTCCTGCACCCTGCTTGCTGTCTGTCATGAAGTGAGTTGAGTAACTTCTATCACAAAAAACTTCCACCCCCAGGATGCTTCACCTCCCCCAAGGGTCCAGAATCAATAAAGCCAAGGACTACAAAATAAAACCTCTGAAACCTAGAGCCAAAATAAATCACTCCCCCTCTAAGTAGTTTATGTCAGGAATTTTGTTAGAGCAGTTAAAATTGGACTAACACAAAACATAAGACATCGGAAGGTCAAAGAATGCCTCAAAATCAGACTTTTTTTTCCTTTTAAGTATGGAAGGAATGATAATATTGATACCCTTTGGGTTCATAAAAAAGAGTAGACACTGAAGAGCACTTGGACCCAAACCTCCATTTGTAGTTATAGATGTCAAGGCTCAAGTAGGATAGCTTGTCCAAGGTCATCTTACTAATTGAGTGGCAGAGGTAAAGATCATCCTCAGTAATTGAATGTCAAAACAGAATGTGGTAGCATTCTACTTCAAATTTCACCCAGTTTGTTCTCCCT